AGTTATGTAAAAATTCAAACAACATGCTTATTCTGACTTGTACATATTAAAATATATAAAAGAATAAGGGAGCATATAAAATTTTATTGTGTTTTAAATGAGTAAAAAATTCTTACTGACAAATGGGCAAAACCTAGGATAGTGGCAAATTATAAAAATGTAAAATTACAACTAATTAGTATTTGGGGTGAAAGTAATTAGTCTTTTAATATGTCAAAAATTGATTTTTGTTGTAAATATGCCTGACAAAATTGTTACACTGAATGACATTTTAGTGGGTCTCTTCTGTGAATCAGGGAAAAATATATGATATTTATTTTTTGCTCAGAAAAACAAAAACAAAAATGCAATTCAATTAAACATAAAACTTTACATTTTTTTGGAGAAAAACAACAATTTAAAGCAGTATTACACTTATTGTTTTTATGCTTAAACCCTTTTTCATCTTTGACCCACACAATACTTTCCGTACCCACTGTATATATATATATATAAGCTGCAGTGTGTAATTTCTACATTACTAGTTAAACCAAAATGAATTGCAAAAATAAATCAAAATGAATAAATAATTTTTGTTATAAAATTATTTATTTATTTTTTTATATATTCTTCCATTTTCTGAAGAAAGTGTGAGTGGTGCAAAAATTCACATTGTCTTTAGAAAATATAAATATCTAGTTATATGCTCAAAAAAAATCACACACTTCACCTTTGATTAAAAATGATTATCCAGACTATAAGAGGTCAATCTGCATCTCACCCCAGTCTTCAGGTCTCGGAGCGTGTGCGTCAGAATGATGTTGAAGACGGCGTGCGAGCGGCTGCTCTCCTCATTCATGTTCGTGGCCGCCACAGTGCGGGATTTATTCCCCTCCGACATCAGAGACTCGATGTCCTGAAAAACCAAACCAAAGATATTCCCAATCATCCTGCTTCAGCACCGAGAGCATTTGACATGAAGAGCTTCTTGAAGGTGTTGGACGAACCTTGTAGCTGGTCACAGCGAGGCGGGACAGACCGTCTACATACGGCCCCAACACGTTATGCTCCCGGACCCTCAACGCCTGCCGGCTCCTGATAGGAACATCAATAATATTTGCAGTACACAAAGTTTGATCTGAGTATATTCAAGGTTTTCATGACTGACAGCAGAAAAAGAACCAGAATACGGGCTTTCATTGGACAACAATCAGCATGTAAACAGGATTTAGACTCTCTACAGACTCACCCTTTGGGATCTAGAAGGTCTCGCACCTTCTCATTGTAGATCTCCATGTAGGACACCTCCACGGTGAAGCTCTCGCCCTCTCTCTGCTCCTGTATGGTGCGCTCGAACAGAGAACTGCACAGGCGTGGGATCAGACCCGGCTGCTCCGCCGTTCCCATCATCGTGTACGACTTTCCTGAGCCTGCAGCGCAAGGGTGTAGAATTTAGTTGGGATGCTCGGGACATGTCCCTACCAATATCCAGCGACTACTAAATTGTCCCTAGCATTAATTTTGATCAAATAATTACATATATGTATATCTAACCACCTCTGTTTCACGCATCTGAAAAAAGTCATACCACTGATATTACCTGAGAAGATAATCATCTCTCAATCATCAAGGTATTGCATTGCATTATATGTTTTGAAACTACAGAGCTTTGATAAAAAACCTAAGCATTAAAAATCTTATTATTGGGAGATATAGGGTGACAACTGACATTTTATGCAAGTAGTCTGATATACTGTTATGAAAACCTCCTTGATTTACATTACAACAAGTAAAGCAGATATCCAAGAGTTATGTACTATGAAACAGTAAGTAGTTCTGCTTAAACCTTTCATGGAGATTAAAATATATTTTTTGCATAGATAGCTTTCTAGCAAATTTAACTCTACCTGTTTGCCCATATGCAAATATACAGGCATTGTATCCTTGGAAAGCGCTGTCCAAAAGACTCTCTCCAAGACACTGAAACACCACATCCTGACCTATGAGTCAGACATTACACAATATAAACATATACACTGCAAATGAGAATAAATGGCATGCAGTACTAAATCAATTGAAAATACAGGAATAATAATTCACCCCAAAATGAAAATGAACCCACAATTAGGCCATCCAAGATGTAGATGAGTTTGTTTCTTCATCAGATTTGGAGAAATGTAGCATCACATCACTTGCTCAGCAATGGATGCTCTGCAGTGAATGGGTGCCGTCAGAATGAGAGTCCAAACAGCTGATAAAAACATCACAATAATCCACAAGTAATCCACACATGTTAATGTCTTGAGAAGTGAAAAGCTGCGTGTTTGTAAGAAACAAATCCATCATTAAGATGTTTTTAAATTCAAACTGTTGCTTCTGTCTAAAATATGATATCCATAATAACACTTTGTCTTGTCTGAATCAAGAAAGAAATAATTACAGATCAAGCACGGTTTACAAGCCAAAACAGTCCAAAACAGCTCTAAACAAATATGTGGTGGACCAGGAGATGGACTTTTTCACTGGAGGAAGCGTTATTATGGACTCATATTTTGGCAAGTCAAAAAAACATCTTAACGATGGATTTTTTTCTTACAAAAAAGCAGTTTTTCACTTCTCAAGACATTAACTGATGGACTGGCGTGGTGTGGATTACTTGTGGATTATTGTGATGTTTTTATCAGCTGTTTGGACTCTCATTCTGACGGCACCCATTCACTGCAGAGGATCCATTGCTGAGCAAGTGATGCAATGCTACATTTCTCCAAATCTGATGAAGAAACAAACTCCTCTACATCTTAGATGGCCTGAAAGTGAATACATTTACATTTTTGGGTGAACTATTCCTTTAAAGGGTTCCATTCAAGTTGATCAAATTCCTTAAAGTTCATTGTCAGTTTACTTCCATCGTAAGTTTGTTATTGTAACTGTGATTTCTGATTTACCAGTACTTTTTTTTTTTAACTAAAAGACTAGTAAACGAGTTAACAAACACAGCAACTGCTTATAGAGCTTAACTTGTCTTGAAGCTTTACAAATCTTTAGCACTGATAAACCGCAGATGAATAGTAGATTTGGTAAAGCAGTTTTACAGGTTTGTCTTTTCTTCAGAAAAGTTCACAAGGAAACATAAGCAGGGAATAATAATGTCTATTAGTTTCTATTGCCATCATAAATGTTCCCTGATGATTCAGATCACTGCAGTATAAACACATTACAGAGGTTTAGTGATAGTTTCCACAAAAGGGTTAGTCATTACAGCAAAATGAATAATTTTCAATATCAACAGACCTGCAAATTTGGCCGCCTCAACCTCATCCATAGACCAGAAGCAATAATCATAAGCGAAAACCTGAAACGAGACATCGCAAATGTCTAAATACTGTGTAACAGATGCATGTCACAAGCTTGAAATGAGCTGTCTAAATGTTCAACATGACTAATAACTTTATACTAGGGATGGGCGTATCGATCCAAAGTATCGATATATCGATACTGACGCGAGTATCGAAAGTATCGATACTCAAACAAAAAAATATTGATACTAAGGTGTGTTTTATTTACCAGACATCCCTACTTTATACAAATCCAGTTAAAGCTGCAGTCCATAACTTTTGGCGCTCTAGTGGTTAATAAACAGAACTGCGTGTGTCTTGCGGAAGAACATTGTAGCCGGAGCTACTTCTCTGTGTTTATGTCTGTGGCGAATCACGCAGGTACTGGGCTACTTCGCAGCGGTACCTACCCGAACCAGTCGAAAGAGTCCGAATATAAACACTTATTATAGGTGTACCGTAGTGATTCAGGACAAGCCAAAAACACGGTTTGGAAAATGGATTCATGGTGTACTTGCTTATTATATACATTTTTCTACATTTTGAACACAAAAAAGTTACGGACTGCAGCTTTAAGTTAAACCCTTTTCGGTCACGCACATTATTCATGATAAAGTGATTGTAATGCATTTGTTCACATTAATTTAATGCAGAAATGACATACGAAAACTCACCTTTGGTTTGCTCCTGCATTCACAAAAGGACAGATGGAAAAACAACAACAGAAAAACACATTAATATATTACATCATATATATGAAATGAATACTTTTATTCAACAAGGATACATTAAATTGATCAATTCAAAAGTGACAGTAAAATCATTTATAATGTCACAAAAGATTGTATTTTAAATAAATGCTGTTCTTTTGAACTTTCTATTCATCAAAGAATCCTGAAAAAACTGCATCACGGTTTCCACAAAAATATGAAGCAGCACAACTATTTTCAACATTTATGATATTCAGAAATGTTTCTTGAGCAGCAAATCAGCATATTAGAATGATTTCTGAAGGCTCATGTGACACTGAAGACTGGAGTAACGATGCTGAATTTGACATTTTTACATTTTAAAACCAGTTACTTTAAATTGTAATAATATTTCACAGTATTGCTGATTTTACTGTATTTTTGATCAAATAAATGCAGCTTTGGTGAGAGTAAGAGACTTATTTCAAAAACATCAAAAAATCTTACAGACCCCAAACTTTTGAATGGTAATGCCCCTTTATTTTTTGTATATATACACACATTTATACAATTATTGTATATATGTTTACCCATTTTATCATCTACTTGAAAATCTGAACATCGTGCATCTGATGACCTTTCCTCAACAAGACATGATTTAAGCACCAACGTTTAATAATTAGAGGCTTGTTCAAAATCACACAATGATATTTCCTTTAGCAATCACTACTAATAACATCAGTATGTATTACGGCTGTGGAACTGAAATCTAGGTGAGCTGAAACATCCTGCAGAGCTACAATTATGTTCTTTTTCTATAAAAAAAAACAAAAACAAAACAATTATCAGGACAAACTTCCAGATTTTCCTAAGCACACGCTGAGCATGACGGGAGGACGACAAACAGTCTTGAAGCATTTCAGGAACATTCCAGAAATGTTTGCCTTATTTCAGTCAATATCTGCAAAATAAGGACAAGCTGAACCCTGGGCGAGAATTACACAATGTAACCATCTGCTTTGAACCTCCTTCATCTCAGGTTTTACTTTAATTAAAACCCACCCCGGTATCATTTACATGACAAACAGAATCTGCATGAGTGTGCTGTCTCTACTTGCACTTCATAATGAAAACACAAACTTGCTGTGAGGGATTATTATGGAATTTGAGTAAACTTTCTTGTATAAGCCTGTAAAACCTGTTTGCACGCCATCACCGCAAACCGCTGCAAGTTACAGCAGAGACGGCTCAGCGGTCTGAAACATGACTAGATCAGCACTGAGAAACTGAGAGAAGCTGGATACGACAGAGCAGATTCCTGCGTAAGGTGACCTGGAAAACGGCCAGATCTCCGGGAAAGGCTTGTGGAGAAAACAGGCACACCCTTTGTAAAGAGACCAGAAGAAGGAACGGAAGAGGAGACAAAGAGAAGGAATGAAGATAATAATGCTCCAGCACAGGCTGACAACCGGCTGGTCTTTAATATATCAAACATGCATGTGCAGTTTAGTGCATGCTGACAGACGACCAATGCAAAACCGAGAGCTGATTTCAGTCATCAGACAGCGGTGATATGAAGCACTGCTGACTGATGAAGGCTCTGCTGCAAAACCAACAAACTCCTCTTTGTGTTAAAGGAGTAAAGAACTACAGCATGCAACATATGCATGGATCAAAACGCCAGGCCATTGTACAGTAAATCAATGTCTCAATTGACTTGTCTGGTTAAATAAAGGTAAAAGTAATGACAACAATGCTATAAATATACAAACACTGGGAACAGCTTTATAGCACCCAATGCAAATGCAGCAACATTATCAAAGATAACACCATTTTTAATGTGTGACCAGTCAGAAGTATATGAAAGATGTCACATGGCACCTTACATTTATTATATTGGCTGGAAAACTGCTTATCAAGCTCCAAGAAACCACTCACAACACCTTAGCAACCACCCAGACAACCGCATAATGCCTTAGAAACCAACAGAACATTAGCAATTGCTTAGCAACACCTTAGCAACCACCCAGACCACCTCGACAACCGCATAATGCCTTAGAAACCACCAGAACATTAGCAACTGCTTAGCAACACCTTAGCAACCACCCAGAACACCTTAACAACCACATGATGCCGTAGAAACCACTCAGAAAATATTAAATATTAGCAACTGCTTAGCAACACCATAACAACCACCCATAATACCTTGACAACCACAAATATATAATCACATACTTCATCAACACTCTAGTAACCACCAGAACACTTGACAACCACATAATTCCCTATAAACATCCCAGAACACCTTAACAACCACATAATGCCTTAGAAACCACCCAGGACATTAGCAACTGCCTAACAATACCATATCAACCATTCAGAATTCCGTGACTACCACAAAATGCCCTAGGAATCACCCAGAATATGTTAGCAAATGCTTAGAAACATCACAGCAACCACTCAGAATGCTCTGAAAACCATATAATGTCACATTAACCACGCAGAACACCTTATCAACTATCTAACAAATGTCAAGAATGCTTTAACAACCACATAATGCCCTGCAAGCCACCCAGATCAATAGCAATTGCTTAGCAACACCCTAGCAACCACCAAGAACACCTTAACAATCACACAATGCCCTAAAAAAACACTCAACTGCCTAGCCACATCCTAGCAACTGCCTGGAACATCTTAACAACCACATAATGCCCTAGAAAACACTCTGAAAATCTTAGCAACCACCCACAACACTTTAACAACCACATAATGCCCTAGAATCCACACAGAACAGTAACAACTTAACATTTGCCTGGCAACACCCTAGCAACCACCCACAACACTTTAACAACCACATAATGCCCTAGAATCCACACAGAACAGTAACAACTTAACATTTGCCTGGCAACACCCTAGCAACCACCCACAACACTTTAACAACCACATAATGCCCTAGAATCCACACAGAACAGTAACAACTTAACATTTGCCTGGCAACACCCTAGCAACCACCCACAACACTTTAACAACCACATAATGCCCTAGAATCCACCCAGAACACCTTAACATTTGCCTGGCAACACCCTAGCAACCACCCAGAACACCCTGACAACCACCATAGAAACCATATCAGCAACCATCTAGCAACCACTCAGAAAGTTTTAGCAGCTCCTATGGAATATACAAGGCACGTATAACTTTCAAACTTCAAGATGTCTTTACTGTAAACTGCGAGTGAACTCTTTGTCAAGCTAGGATTCAGTGTTTCCATTTTAAAATCCTACAGTAGCTGCATTCACAGGAAGTTAACCAGATATCTTTTGTAAAGTTATGTGATGCTTGGCAAGAGGACAGCACACATTTGTGCAGCTTTGTTTTTTAAGTTGCCTGAAAAGACCCAATGATACACGAGTAATTTAGTTTCTTGGGTTTTTAGCACAAGTATCCAGGGTTACTTTTGACCTGCCAATGAACCTTCACTCGTTTCTATGGACACTGAAGGACAAAGGAGAAGAGGAATGTAGAGAAAGAAAGAAAATGTCAGCTCGAGAGAGAGTCAAACTAAAACAGGAAGAGATTCTGTTTCTTTCCTACTTTATTAAGTGATCAGACTCATTGTGATTTCACCTAGTGAGCAATAAATATCAACTAGAAACTACTCAGAACACCCCAGCATTGTATTGCAAAGGCAGACAGCACTAACATTCCTCAGATCTAATTCATATTAATCCAAAAGTTTGAGGCTTGTCAAGACAACTATAGAGATCATTTTTGCATTTTATTAGATGACTCTACATATTCAAATACCACTGTACTGAGTGTTAGTCAAATACAAACACACACCCACACAAACACACCCCAGTTTACCTGCTGTCGCCCTTTCCCAGGTTTCCATTGGCCGGGTACAGGATGGTCTGATTTCCTTCCATGTCCACAACACATTTTGTCTTTAAGTCTCGTTCTATAAAAAGCACATTAATAACAATCAATCAAAAATTGGTCAAAATGTTGTTTGCATCATTGCTCACAAACAGCATTTCACATGCAATATTTCTGACTACTGACATTTTTTTGTATTCAATTATATATGTAATTGAACAAATAATTGACATGTGTATATATATATATATATATATATATATATATGTGTGTGTGTGTGTGTGTGTGTGTGTGTGCGCGTGCTGAACACAGTATAAACATTTTCAAAAATAATGTAAATGCAGCATAAAGATAAAGTTTATGCATTTTAAAACTAGATTTTTTCCCCCAGATTTTTTCATTTTCATCATCCTGACAGCCTCAATAGTCACTGACCCACATAAGGGGAAGGTTTGCTTTCATAAATGAGGATCATAAAAGAAATAAGGGCTGCAGATAAAGACCAGAATCAAACACACAGTCTACACACACATACTGTGACGGTCACACTCACCTCTCCTGTTGATGGGTCGCACCCGGACCGCCACTTTCACATTAGACTCATTCACAGCACTTTCATCCATCATGAAGCTCTTCTGCACCGGTCTCACCAGTTCCTGTGTTATTACATCATCCAAGTATGAGCAATAATGCCATGAAACGAACATGCAGCTTATTTATTTAACACTACAAATTATAACCTTAATTTTTCAAACAGCTCTGAATATTTCAAATGAATATTTTAAATATTTACATTTTAAATAGACTTGCATGCAAGAGGTTTGTGTTTTTATTGCTCTTTTATTTATTATCTATGTATGTTTTAATGTAAAGTGTTAAATTGTTGCATCTCTTTTAATGCTGCTTGCTCTTTCGTTGTATAAACATTTGTAATGAATGACAATAAAGACCTAACTAGATATTGTAACAATCACTGTTTCAATTGTTTGATCTGTAACAATGTTTCACAATTTAAAGTTCCAAATGACAAATGTATGACTGCAACTCGAGAACTTTTAAGTTATAATACAATCAAACATAGTTGTACCTGTTCATGGAGAGTGTGGCTGCTCGTTAAGGAGCTGTGTGTCATTCCAGCAGTGATCATGCGGAACTGCTACAGATTAAATGTCCACAACAGACACACTGACTCATCCAGACGGGAATAAAACACTTCCAGCCCGGCCCTACCGAACAAACATGAAACAAGAGTTCATTAAAGGGAAAACAGCGATAAATCACCCTGTTTCATTTCCTGATCTCTCGCTATCTTACCGTGTTAAACTCCAGCGGATCTTCAGGAGCGTTTGAGCAGGTGGATCACGCACATACGGGACAGGCGGACCGTAAACAGAGCGAGCAGCTGGAGCCGCACCGTCAGTCATACGAGTGCTGGAGTGGGCGGGGCCTGTCGGCGCGGAGCTGATTCTGATTGGTCAGGTGCGGTGGGTCTAAATGATCATTCTCGGTTTTATTACATTTTCACTGTTAGAGGACAAGTGGGAATAGGTGACATTTTTAGTTCAATGTTTATAAAAATTTCTGAGTATCATTAAGTTACTCGGGAGTAAAATAGTGTATTTTTCTGTCTTTATAAACAAAAAAAAACTTATAGGCCTATATACACACACACATTTGTGGTTTACGGGGACTCTCCATAGGCGTAATGGTTTTTATACTGTACAAACTGTATTTTCTATTGCCCTACACCTAAACCTACCCCTTACAAAAAACTACTGGCAATTTTAGAATTTCATAAAACACCGTTTTGTATGTTTTTTAAGCCTTTTGTTTTATGGGGACACAGGAAGTGTCCTCATAAACCATGTTTACTTATTAATTTATTTATTATTATCTTCCTTGTGCTGTTAGGAGTTTTATCCCTCTAGGATGATTTTATTTTTGCTTTTCTGTTGGAAGTGGTCAGATAAAAATACAATATATTAGAATAATATTACATAAACTACTTAATGTAAATATTTAATATAAATATATAATATTGTCTATTGTTATATAACTGTACATACAATTGTTGATTTGTATATTTTTTATTCCTTATTTTACTTGTTCTATTTTTTATTCATTTTTATTTTATATAAAATAATATAATTTAATGTATATAATATAATATAATAAATATAAACAAACAAACAAACAAATAAAACAATAAATAAGGCATGAACAATGGTACTAGCTTTGTTTTTTTGTTTCTTTATGTCTTTTTTTTACACATAGTTGTAATGCAGTTCCACGCCCGACCGCTAGGCAAATGCGCGTCTGTCTTGAGCTGAATGACACGCACAGACATACAGCAGAAGAACAGTCAGTCCTGAATGTTTCCCGAGTTTTAGAATCACAGAAAACAACAAAGCTAGGGAATCAATCCAGTTTCTGGAGATCAGACATGAAACTGGTGCGTATATCAGTGTGTTAGCTTGTTAGCGCATAAATATGATAACGGCTGTTTTGAGTTGAATCGGCTACAGTGACAGTAATAATGAGTCCGCTGCAGTAAATGATGATCTCCCGGTGTGTGTGTGTGTGTGTGTGTGTGTGTGTGGTGTGTGTGTGG